CTCGGGTGCCAATCTTTAAAAAAAAAAAAAATGATGCTATTTATTATAGCCTTAAAAACCATCAAATACCTAAGAAGACATGTAACGAAAACTGTGTAAAATCTTACACTGGAAACTACAAGATATTATTAAGAGAAATTAGAGAAGCAAATCAATGCTTATCAAACTTCAGTGCATCAGTATTACCCAGAGGGTGTGTTAAGACACACATTGAAGGGCCAGCCCCTTAAATTTCTGGTCCAGTAGATGTGAGGTGGAGCCCAGGAATTTGTATTTCTAACAAGTTCCCAGGGGCTGCCGCGGCTCGTCAAGGCACCGCACTTTGAGAGCCACTGATCTGAATAAACGAAGCGTATCCAGATCTGTGGGTTGAAAAACTATTGTAAAACATCAGTTCTCCTCCATTTGGGGAACTTCTGTGCAGTCCAGTCAGAGTTCCAGCAGGTGTGTGTGTGTGTGTGTGTTTGTGTGTGTGTGTGTGTGTGGAAACTGACAAACTGATACTGAAATGTATATGGGAATAAAGAGGGCCAAGAAAAGCCAGAGCAGACTTAAAGGAGAACGGCAAAACTGGAGGGCTTTCAACAACCAGCTGTCCGGACTTATTATAAAGTTATAATAATTAAAACCGTGCTTTGTCAGTGTACAAATAGACGAGTAGACAAACGAAGAGAAAAGAGGTTCCAGAAACAGGCCGACACAGGTACTGTCAGCTGATTTACAACCAAGGAGACCTGTGGTGGAGAAAGGATGGTCTTTTCAAGGAGTGGTGCCAGAACAGCTGGGTATCAGTTCAGAAAACAATGAATCTTGACCCCACACCATACACGGAAGTGCATTCCAGATGAATCGTCGCACTAACTATGGAAGGTTAAAAACAGTAATGCTTCTAGAATAAAACATAGGTGAATCCCTTCATGACCACAGAGTAGGTAGTGATTTCTTAAATAGGACACAAAAAGCTCTAACCATGCACGAAAAGATTGACACATTGGACTACATTAAAATGAAGGACTAGTCATCAAAAGATCCCCACTGAGAGAGAGAAGAGGTAAGTCAATGAGTAGAAGATATTTGCAATAAATGTATCCAACAGAAGATTTGTATCTAGTATGTCTAATCCTACAAATCATTTTTTTAGACTACTTGCTAGAAAAATGGGCACAAGACTTAAGCAGGCACTTCCTAAGAACACCTCCAAATGGCCGCTTAACTACTATGAAAAAAAAGATGCTGGACATCATTAGTTGTCTTGGAGATGGATTGAAAATGAGTGAGACACAAAACCATACCTATCCGACAGAACTGCAGTGCAAGCAGCCTGCCAGAGGGAGTGTAAATTGGTGGGGCCACTTCGGCTGTATCTGCCGAAGCAGAAATATCTTAATGACCCAGCAATTGTCTATAGGTTTATAGCCAATAGATTTGCATTGCGTGTTCTCCCTAGCAGTGTTCCGTTCCATCTGCTTACCCAACGCATGCTGTGGGTATCTCCTTCCAGCGATATTCCATTCTATCTCTTTACTGAGCCTGTGCTGTAGATAAATCTCCTTTTCCTGAGTCATCATTCCTCAGGACTAAGCTAATACAGCTAGGCTAGTTGGAGCAATTTGCATGTATTCTTGTGTTAATCATACCAAAACGAAATGTATGCTATGCCTGAAACTAAAGGAAGGTCTCTAACATTGTACAGACTGCAGGTTCTGTGATGGACCCGGCAGTCAGATGCGTTGGGGTGGGTGGGCGTTTGAGTACCTCTCAGATCACAGCAGAAAAAGCATCACTCTGCACCATGTGGATGAGCTCTTAATCACCTTTGCTTCCGCCATTTTTCTTCTTGTTTTATCGAAGTTCATGCTCATAGTGGAGTCAAATGGTTTTATAAGGTTTATGAAAAGCATTAGTCTTCCATGTACCTCTCCCCCATTTCCTCACCAGAGGCAACGACTTTTAACTCCTTCCTGTTTCTTTGTTATTTAACTTCATTTTCCCCACCACTGACATTTTACTATATATCCTTTCAGCAGCTGTTATATGTGTGTATATAGTAAGAATGCATTTATTTAAATCCAATCGAGACAACTCTATTCTTCTGTCTCCCTTTCTTTCATTTGGCCTTAAATTCTTTGAAAACATCATTTGAAATGGCTGTATAATATTCCATCTGTGAACATTCATGATTTGTTTAACCATACCCTGATTGTTGGACATTTGAGGTTGTTTCTTGTTTTGCTTTTTTCTTGCTACTATAAATACCAATATAATTAATCTAACTCTATGTGTGTGTGTTGCTATAGATGAATTGACTCATATACTTTCTCTCCCAACTTTAGTTTTTTCCGTGGTCCATAATCGTTTGGGTCTTATTTGCTTGCTTCATGTTCTTTGTAGCCCTCTGGCTTGCTCTGAACTAGACGGGTTGTTCACTACACAGCTGACATCCTGGGGATGTCACCATGACCCTGGGATTCCCTCCAGCTCTCTCTCATTGACCCTCCTATTTCCTGGCTCCGGTATCTTTTCTTGGTTTACTCCCTTGTTGAGGGGAGCAGCCACTCGCCTGCAGTAGCTTCTTGAGAAAGGCATATGTGGCAGATCCATTGTTTAGACCCCACATGTCATCAAAACATCTTTATCCTATCCTAACCTAATCTCGTAAGGACCAGAACTCTAGTTCTGAATTCATTCAGAATTTTGAAGGAATCATAGCACTGTCTTCTGGCTTCCAGTGTTGCTGCTGAGAAGTCTGTTGTTCTGATCCCTGCTCTTTTGTCATGTGACCTGCATGTTCACTCTGGGAGCTTACAGGATCTTGGTCTTCGGTGTCCTGAACCTTCGGGCTGTTTTATTCTCGTTCATTAGGTTCTTCTAGCGGCCCCTTTCTATGTGGAAACTCGTGTCTGTCTGCTTAAGGACATTCCTTGAATTATTTTACTTATTCATTGTGATCATTTCTTCCCCTCTGATTTATCTTTCTGGAACACTCCTTATTCAGACATTGACCCTCCCACACTGATCCTCTAATTTTATCTTTTCTATTTAAAAAAAAAATTGTTTTGACTTTTTGTTTTACTTTTCTGGTTTCTCAACATCATCTTCTAGGCTTGTCTTTAGTTTTTCATTTCTGCTGTCAGTTTTCATGTCTAGAGCTCTTTTTGTTTTCTAGGGTTTTTTTTAATAACATTTTTATTATTATCTTGATTATGGATTCAGTATCTTCTCTTATCTCTCTGAGGATATTATTGATAATATTTATGAAATTTTCATCATTCTGCCTAGTTTGTTTCTTCTAAGTTGCATTTTTTTTCCTTTTCTTTGTTTTGATATGTCTTTCATGTTAAAGGTTTTTCACAGCTGCTTGTTATCATTAGTTATATGCACAGATTTAAAAGCAGGACATTGGGGCACGCCCTGTGGCCGAGTGGTTAAGTTCACGCGCTCTGCTTTGGCAGCCCACGGTTTTGCCAGTTCACATCCTGAGCGTGGACATGGCACCGCTCATCAGGCCATGCTGCGGCAGCATCCCACATGCCACAGCTACAAGGACCCACAACTGAAATATACAACTCTGTAATAGGGGGATTTGGGGGGAAAAAAGCAAAAAAAAGAAAAGAAAAAAGATTGGCAGCAGTTGTTAGTTCAGATGCCAATCTTTAAAAAAATAAATAAATAAAAATAGGACATTAAGCAACTGATTAAAAGTTCTGTGCTGGGTGTGTTGACTCTGATCTTCACTCGTGGGGTGCTCTTGCTGAGCTATTTCCTTGAGGAATCCTTCGTCTCAGCCTCTCTTGGCTCATGGGCCATGCAGATTCCCCAGAGGAGACTCTTCTAGTCTTCTGTCTAGAGGGTGAATTTGGCCTCATTTACTCCCTGTTTTCAATACGGTCCTTCACTGTCAACTCTGCTTGATGTCCCCCCACTTCAAATATCTCTTTTACTTTCTTTTTTGGTTTTTTTTTTTTTTTGAGGAAGACTAGCCCTGAGCTAACATCTGCCAATCCCCCTCTTTTTTGCTGAGGAAGACTGGCCCTGAGCTAACATCTGTGCCCATCTTCCTCCACTTTATATGTGGGACACCTACCACAGCATGGCTTGCCAAGTGGTGCCGTGTCCGCACCAGGGATCTGAACCAGTGAACCCTGGGCTGCCAAAGCGGAACGTGCGCACTTAACCACTGCACCACCAGGCCAAGCCCCTCTTTTACTTTCTTTAAGAAAAAACATCTAGTTTTCTGCCGAGGTGACCTAATTGCTTCTGAAAGAGACTTTCAACCAGTTCTGCTCTTTTCAACGTCGTCCTTGCCACACTTCCAGAACCGCCCAGCACCCCCAGTGCCTGAGCTCGGGGGAGCTCTCCAGTACTCAGCCAGTTGATTATTGGCCTCTCCCAGCTGCTGACTAAAATTCAACTTTCTGGGTTCTTCTGAATCAGTTACCACCTGTCCTTCTGCTGTCTAACTTCCCAGATTTTGCTGTGTCATCTCTTTTCCTATTATTTTTGTCTTTGTGATTTGTGCCCTTTAAAAAAATAATAAATCCCTTTATTGTTTTAGTGGGGTATCTGGAGGAAGAGGCGGTAAGTATGTGAGTTCACTCCACTGTCTTTAGCCAGAGATTTTCCCCCAGTGCCACTACGGGGGAACCAAGTGTGTCTGACAGCAGTAGGTGGACAGTAAGCTGTCCCAAGGAGGAGCCGGAGAAGCATTGCGTTGTCGTCATTGAGTCGCTAGGAAGCACAAGGCGAGAGCCGATAAGAAGTTCTAAGATCCCTGATTTGCTGCGCCCTGTAGTCAGCCTTCTTTTTGATGCAGGTAAAATGGTGAAGGACATGGGGCACAGGTCTGTCAGCCGGGTGACCTGAATGGCAGACATTTTAGAGTGCTGTGAAGTCTTCCCTGGGCTCTGAATCGACCCTGACTGTGTCATGGTTTTTTCTCTTCGGTGAAGCCACCGTTTGTTTTCTCTCTTCCATTCCTAACCCCCACACCTCTCGTGCAGGATGACGAGATCCTGAAGTACCTCACCCACGAGGAAAAGGATGTCATCCTGTTTTTTGAGGAGACTATTGATTCCCTGGAGGACGACTTTGAGGAGCTGGACCTGTGTGACAGCGGCGTACACTGCCACTCTCTGCGGTCTCTGGAAGAGGGCGCTTCCAGTCACTCGGAGCCGGAAGATGTCATCGATTTAGTGCAGCCAGGACCTGCAGCTGGGGAACCCGAGAGCCGTCCGGAGGGGACCGAGGCAGCGGGTGAGCAGGAAGCACACAAGCCCCGGGGGCACTTCCTTCCGTTGCGTTCTCTTGGGCTTGCCGCTATGGAAGCTAGGGGGTGGGCGTACCCGAGATTCGTAGGGTCGAAGCATCCTCTTGGCGGTTTGATTGTCCAACGAGTAGATGCTTCCATAGCATATTAGGGTGACAACACAGGAAGGGAAACTCCAAAAGGGCTAGAATAAAAATGAGACCAACTGGGCCTACAAATAGATGGCATATATATATTTTCATAAAGAAACAAAATCGGAAATGACTTCCAGGTAACAATTCATTCTACAAAGAAAACATGCAGGTACTTGTATTTTAGCCCTTGAGGTTTAATGTCAACTTTTGTTCAAGATTGTGCCCCTGTTTCTGTAGCGTGACTTTCCAAGGTGTTCTGGCTGGTTCAGAACAACAGGAAAAGATCAGAACAGAAATTCCTCTCAGCACCTGCTTTGTACATTGGCTTGACTTAGGGCGGCATCGGAGGACAGGGGTACCTTTGTCCCTTGAGTCCTAGAGGCAGATGGACAAGGAGAAAATTTTCTTCCAGTTTTTTTCCTGATTGGAAAAGATTTTGGAAATAAATGTGGGCAAGGAATAAGGTTGTAAAGGAAAAAATAGAAGGGAAAATATTTTTGCTCTGCTAACTACAGAACGCTGCCATTTGTCATGAGCCTCTAGAAATAGATATTTTTTCCTTTTTTTTTTTTGTAAGCAAGGCTATGTATTACACAGAATTTCACAAACTGTTATAGCTTCTGAACCTGGAGCTTAGTTTGCAACCATCTCTTCAAAGAAGACACTTAATATGAATTTCTCTCTTTTTTTTGCTTGAGGAAGATTGGCCCTGAGCTAACATCTATACATCTATGCCAGTCTTCTTCTACTTTATATGTGGGTCGCCGCCACAGCATGGCTGACAAGGGGTGTAGGTCTGCATCCAGGATCCAAACCCGCAAACCCGGGCCACCAAAGCAGAACGTGCCAGACTTGACCCCTACGCCACAGGGCTGGCCCCTCAACTTCCCATGTTTATCACTCTTCTTCTTTGAAGTATAGTTCCTAAAATTAATTTGAACCAGTTGACCCTTTAAAAATGTCAGATCAAGAGGAAGATGGGCACGGATGTTAGCTCAGGGCTGGTCTTCCTCAGCAAAAAGAGGAGGGTTGGCAGCAGTTAGCTCAGGGCTAATCTTCCTTAAAAAAAAAAAAAAAAGTCAGATCATTTCATTGTGCCAAGGAAAACACTTTTGGAAAGTGAGCCACCTCGCCCATCAGTTCTCTAACATGACATTTTCGTAAGAGCTCTAAGTGCCTCCTCTGTGGCTGGCATCCTGGAGATTCTGAGGATGCAAAGATGAGTAAGACACGGCTTACACTCGTGCAGCAGGAGGAAGCGTATAAACATAAGTGCAGAAAAGCGTTAGGGGATCCGCGATCAGTCTATGTTGTGGATACAGTAAAGGCTCAGAGGCTGGCGTATGACATTCTACCTGGCCATCAGGAAACATTTCTGTTTCAAATCTGACTGTCCTGCATCTAGAAGGACCTGATGGAGTTGTTGGCGTGTGCCACACCACCTTCCAGGCTCGTTTCTCCCTGTAGAACCCCCTGCTATGTTATTGTTTCTTCCTCCTACTTGCCCCGGGATGATGGGTCTTCAGAAGCTCACTTCTACAGTGTGCTTTCCACGTGCTGACCTTTGTGACTTGCAAGTCTTTCTCCATCACTCATGCTTTCCTTTCCATTGCGTGGTTATGAGAATCACGTGCTGCATTCTCTTTGTCTAGTCCAGGGAACAAGGATAAAGGGAGTTTAGCTGACGGGAGGAACTGCTCATTGGTATTACGTCCCTTTGAGACCCTTTTCAATTCAGTGAAAAGGAAATGTAATGCGTTTATTTTTAAAGTGGTAGCTTATGAGGGTTCTCCCTCACTTTTCAGGGGCTGGACCTGGTGGAAAGGAAGACATTCCTGACCTTGAATGCAGGAAGCAGGATGCTGAGAATTCGCCCCCTCCAGACTCCACGGTTCCAGAGGCCCCTCCTCTGTCGCCTTCCCTGCCTGTCACCGCAGCTCCAGCCCACCCCAGGAAAGAGCTGCTCACTCCTTCTCCCCCAGCAGAGCACCCAAAACTACCCCGCTCGGTCCCTACTCCTCTTGTTATCGCCCAGAAAATTTCCGAGAAGCTGGCAGGAAATGAAGCACTTTCGCCCACATCTCCCTCGAAGGAGGGCAGGCCTGGAGAATGGAGGACACTGGCTTCTGGGGCCCCTCGAAACGGGGACCACCTGCCATGGCACAGACCCACGACACAGCCTGCACCCAAGATCCACCGCTTCCCCAGCAACATCAGCGTGACCAACAGCTCGGGGAAGGAGTTCAACAAGACCATCTCGAAAGCAGCCGTCAACGTGCAGGAGCGGAAGGCCCAGGTCTTGGCCAACATTAATGGTATCTCTTTCCTCACCGTGGGAGAAATGGAAGATCAGGCCCCAAAGGGCCATCTCACTGAGCAGAGGAGAAGCATCTCTCCAGAGCAGGGCACTCGGGACCAGAGCAAGCCAGGCCCCGGCCAGGAAGCTGTATCCTCGCGGGCGGGAAGGCAGACCAGCGGTCAGCAGTCCAGAGGCGTGCAGACAGAACAGTCCCCGCCGTTGGCCAATGGCTTCCAGAGCATCCACGATGTCCTAAAGAGGGAGCCTAGTGCCTTTGTCTCTACTGGAAAAACTGTCACCATCCATCCAGACCCGGCTCTTACTAGTAAACTTGCACGCCAGAACGCCAGCAAGAGCTTGTATGAGCACCGGCAGCCGGACTGCAGCCAGGATGCGAGGAGGCGGTCGGGTTCGCTCCCCAGGGCCGTGGGGTTCAGGCCGCAGGGCATCACTGTCCAGTTCTCCGGCCGAGGCTCCACCGAGGAAGCCCGGAGGGAGGCCCTGCGGAAGCTCGGCCTCCTGAAGGAGAACTTGTGATGGAGGCTGAGCAGGGAGCTGGAGGAGGCACGATGCCTGGTCTGTCTGGCAGGAGAGCAGGAGCAGCAGTCCCAGCTGTTGTGCCCGGCTGAGGGCTAGAGACGAGAGGCGCCAGGACTCAGTGGTCCCGACTGAGTGAAGGACAGAAAGTGCGGCCCCACTCTGATGCTACAGCCGAGCAGGGGGGATCCTTCTGTGAAAGAAGGTCCAGCCCCATCTCTTGTCTTCCTTTTTCCAGGAACTTAGAGAATAATTTTAAAAACCTATTTGTTCCTATAATTTGTAAATGCCATATACTTTTTGGGTTTAAGAGGAGGAGGATTGGGTCCAATGTGTTATTCTTGTCTCTAATTGAGCCTTTTATCCCAAGGACATGACATGAAGCCAGTTTAGATCTCTTATACTCAGTTCTCTAAGAAAGGGAGTTTCTAAGAAAAATAAAAAAGAAATGCTTGTTAAATTTTCATAGTGTCTTAAAATATTTTTCTGGTTTTTTGTTTGTTTTTGAAGGGTAAATAACAATGCGCTTGCCCTAGATATGCCTTTGTTGCTTGATATAACTTGGTTTGCCCAGTTTTTTGTTTTTGTTTTGCTGAGGAAGATTGGCCCTGAGCTAACATCTGTGCCAATCTTCCTCTATTTTGTATGTGAGACGCCGCCTCAGCATGGCCACCAACAAGTGGTGTAGGTCCGCACCTGGGATCCAAACCCCAGGCCACCGACTGAAACAGAGCCCACAGAACTTAACCATCAGGCCACCCGGGCTGGCCCTGCTCAATTCTTTTTTTAATTGAAAATTAAAATGAAACCTTTAGAGTATGATTTACTGTAATTTTGAGGTATGGGAGTGGAATAGAAAGGTTGAGTTTGGAAAAGGTGGTAATCTTAAGAAAGTGAGTCTCATGAGACTAGAAGGTCTGTGTTCCTGGGAGATGTGTGTATGAACGTGTATTGTGTATATACATGTACATAATATATGTTAACATATACACATGTAGGTATTGTGTGTGTGTACACACATTCATATGACATACATATAAACTTCTTAAACCCCTGTTGAGTAAGACAGGATGCAGGAGCTTCCTATCCTCCTGATGGACACAGCCATCTCAGCATTGTGATGGGTGACACAGAAATGTTTACTTCCTAATATGGAAATCTTTTAAGGACCCATCTCCATAATATTTCAGTGAACCAAAGTGCTTTTTCCTCAACAGTGTGTTGTTCTGTTCCCAATTAAAGTAATATTCCAAAGAAGCAAGATAGTTCCTTTTTTAGTAAAGAATGTTTTTAAAGATTTACTTTATCACCTAATATTAATTTATCGCCTAATTTTAGTTTTGCATGTTCCGAGGTAGCCAGTAAACAGAGGAAAACAGAAGATTCTTAAGATCCCCTGTCTTCCATGGGCAAGATCTCAGGATTAATTTAAAAGGGAAAAAAACAGCGAACCAAGTTTTGCAGCATGAAAAGAACTGGTTTTCTGCCCAACTGTGACTTACATGCTGAGCTGTGGCCACAGCATTATTATCAAACCTCTGCGAGGCTGGGGTCTTAAACCTCTAAAAATAGACCGGGAGGGGCCACACTTGAAGTTACGCCCTTTTGTTATTGTCTCAGAATCTGTTTCTTTCCTGTTGAGTATTATTTAAATTCATACTTTTAAATGTGCTGTGAAGGACGTTTTTCATAGTATTCAGTTTGCCTTGTAAGTTACATAAAATGATTGTAATTTTTTCCTTAGAACTACAGTATTTAGCATCTCGTCCAGCCCTGTCCTCTTGAAATAATCTCATAGGTTCTTGACGGTCTTTGTTTCAATAGGTGCTTTGATTTTAGAGGTTTGTAAAATAGCTTTTATTTTACTCCTGTTCATGTTGGGTTTGTTTAAAGGATTCTCGAGGGCTGTATTCCCTTTTTATAAAGTGAGATGCCATACAGTGTTTAAAAATGGAGGGTCTTGATATGGCTAACATTTTAAATGTCCTTTATATATGAGGCTTCTTTCTTTTTATCTTATCCTATGACTTCATTGTGATTAAGGTGAACTTGACTATATATTAGCTTATTTGTTCTCATAATGACATTTTTGAAAAATAAATGTAGAGATTTACCTTAAGTATAAACAACGTTGTGCATTTTATACTTATCTCAATTATTTTCTTTTAAATGGTTATATCTTTTCCTTCTGTTTATTCATAATTTCTTCTACCAATTATACTGACTGTTACTCTGGTCATTTCTTGTGCCCAAACCTTAGTGATTAAAGCCATATGTTTTTACAAGGTTGAAATTATAGCCCCTACTGAACTAACCTGGATGTGTATGTGTCACGTTAACACAAACACCCAGTTTGCTGAGGGGGTTAGTTTCTTTGCTGTAACTATTGTTCTCGGACGTTCTTAAAGGCTCATCTTCAAGGGAATTTAAGGACCGTATTTCAAAGCAGAATTATAATGAAAAGTGCCCTTTTTTTCTTTCAAGCGATACTTGTAAATCAGTCTCCATTTTTATGAAACTCTTTATCTGAATACTTAAAATCGTTGGGGGTGGTGGGGGGGAATTTTCCTCTGCTTTTAGGAAGGTGTGTACAAATGGCCAAACCAGAGTTGCATCTGCAAATGGTAACTCTCACCTGTCACCAGGGTAACGGTTCGGTTCTCTCCCCCGCCCTCTCCGATATTTGGTTCCCAGCGTGCACACTTATCTTCACAACACCGGGAGAAATTCTGATCTGTGCTTCTCTCTCCCCAGCTCACGTTCTCATCTGATAAGGCTTGTCGAGGAGGAAAGGTACAGGCGGGGTGGCCCTCGAATGACTCAAGATGCACACGGCAGAGGGCTCCACCTGAGCTGCCTTCTTCCTCTTTTTCCTCCTCTGGCTGCACAAGCTGAGCTGACAGTAGGACTGTGCACTCAGAGTTCCCCATGGGGAGCTCCCAGTGTCGGCTCCCCCTTTGAAATGAGCTTTTGCAAAGAGCTCAGGGGAGTCAAGAAGTGAGGCCTTAACGAACCCTTAGGACTGAACTTTCCATTTGTAAGAAGTCAGAAATGTATCTCTTTTTAAAATTCCCACAGTGTTGGCTACGTGGAATTTGACCCTTTGGAGGATGGGTGGTGATGTTTTTTATACGGGTGATCTAAGAAATCAGTTCTTTATGTTCACTCAAGAGGAATGAAGAGAGAATCAAGGTGTATGGAACAATGTACTCTGTTTTCCTCGTGGAGGTGCAGAGGAGGCATTGCCCCTCTCTGAGTGTATTTCATCACCCCGACAAGTTTAATAAACTTTTTTCCGTAAACTGCCCCCTTGGGTTTTTAAACGTTTGTCATCAGGTCCCCGTGATCTCTGTGGGAACAGAGCTGTGGCCTGTGTTTTGCTCCCCGGCCCCGCCTGCCAGCCCGTGATCCCGGTGGCAGGAGGGAGGGGGGTGTGGGGAAATGCTCACCTGTGAAAGGTTCGTGTTTTCACTGAAATGACAAGTCACCAAACAGGTTTTGTTTCTTCTCTTCACAACAAGGCATTTTCCCCTGCTTTAAAGTATGGGGACAAGTTCCCATATCCTTTCCTAATCTGCTCGCTGGACAAGCCTTGCTTTCAGATATCCGAGAAAAGAGAAGGCAGGGCTGGCAGCTGCCGCGTCCTGGGAACTCTGGAACTGAGTCTGAAATAGCCGACCACCCACTGCCTCGTGGCCCACAGCCCCCTCCAGCTCCCACTCCCCTCCCCCGCCACAGTCACACTCTTCTCCACAGCAGGGGAGCACTGCTGGGGGACAAAAATCCATTTGTCCCCATGCACGAGAAAAGCAGAGGGAGCCACAGGCTGTAACCTGAGGGCACATCCCGTCCCACACTTTTTAGCATAAAAATGGTCAGCCTTTCTGTGTATTGGTTGCGGTCCTTCTAAAATGTCTCTTTATTCCAAACAGAAGAAAACCCTTTCCTACCCAACCCAAATTGAGAAGAGAAGACTTAAGAAATGCAATCACTGTCCCCAGCAGGCTCACTCTCCCTCCCGGTTACTGTCCTTGTAGGGGGCCCCCCCCATGACCCCAGGGCCAGGGGGAGCCTGCCCCACATGATCCCATCCCTCACTGCACCTCAAACTGCCCCTCCCCCCCTACTCCCCCAACCCCCCGCACCTGGCTCCATGAAGGTGTGCTTCAGCCTCGCTTCTTGTCTTCTCAGCCGCATGAACTTCCTACTCAACAATGAGCTAAAAAGGAGGATGACCTGCAAAGAGCAGCACCGCCCCCCCACCAGCTCCGAGGGAATTGTGCAATCCTGGGATGCCCCCCCAGTGTTGCTTCTTGCCTCCCCAGTCCTTGGCAATCCCCTAGATCTGTCTGCCACAACCCCCCCACTCCCACAGGCCCTTCTGCTGTGGGGCCACTATGATCTGTAGCAGAGCTGAGTCAGGTGGGCTCCCCCCCGACCCCCACCTCACTGGTCGAGTTCAACGTAGGTTTTCCCGATTCCACACCTTCTTCGAGATCCTGGAAGCCAGCTCTTTCCCCAGCTGAACTGACTTCTGCGCGTCGGGGAACATTTCGAAGGAGAAAAACACCCTAGTTTTGTGGAGGGCCTTGGGGTCTGCTTTCTGGGGCTGGAGCTCCTAGCTGGTGGCTTAGGTTCAGGATTCCGTGATCACCCCACGTCCCCCTGCCCACAGTAAAGTCGGCCCCTGTGCCGGTCCGAGCAGGACTGGAGTTAGGAATCCACATTTGGAAGCTGAGGTTAAAGGAACTTAGTCATTGATAAACAGGTCACACTTCATAAACTTCAACCTCCGAGTATTTGCGCGTGAAGCAGAGCTGCCAAGGGTAGTAACCTAAGTTCTGGAAATACCTTTAAGGGGTGGGGCTGAATGAACAAGAAATCCATGTGTCAGGCATAAAAGGCTCCAGAAAACAAGCAGCTCTGTGCACTTGCGCATGCATGTGCTTACACGTGCATACTCTTCTCTAGGTGACTGGCTGGTTTCCATCCATGGCATTCTCTGACCCTTTCTGTGGGGGATACTCCCCTAGAGCATTGGGACAGGCAGCAAGAGGCTGGCCCTTGTTACCAAAGATGCGTTCAGGTCTTTGTAGCCTTTGTAAAACCACATAATTCCTCACAGAACCCACATCCCTGACGAGTTATTGGGATGGTAGTGCTATGAGGGTCTCTTCCACTTCTGGCAAGTTCTAACTTCTGTGGCAGAGAATAGGAGTTTGCTGGTCCATGAAATAGGATAGAATTTATCCTTTTACTTGACTATTTGTTTGATGTCTAAGCATTTTGAATTTGAGGGAAATAACCTCTGCCTTGTGAAGATGATTTCAAAGAGTTGGAAGGTTCCAGAAGGGCCTTCTCGTGCAGGGCCCGCTGTGACAGCTGAGGTGCCCCATCTTCCTGGAGCTTGCTCTCCAAGGCTCAGAGCTCAGGCCACACTCAACCATGCTCTTCCAAATTCACAATCTCTGTGTTTGTGAAACTGCTCGTAAGGCCCTTTATCAGTCCCATCTTAAAGGCCAAATGAACTGAATTATGATTTTATAATGTAAAACAGCCGTCTGAAACTTAATTTGTGAAGCTTCGGAGGTGAACCAAGTGCTGCTGAATATGACAATGTTCATTCATCCATTCATTCAGCAAATCTCTGTGTCCTTCTGATGCGGGATCGGTGAGCCGAGGAGTCGAAAGAAAGATTTCTTAGACTCTCAAGATCTGGCAGTAGTGCTCTTTTATTTAGAGAATAGAGATAGAGTAGCATGGGGACAGGACCCATGGGCAGTCAGAGCTTCTGCTGCTGCTGCTGCTGCTGCTGCTGCTGCTGCTGCTGGTGCCCCCGCTGGCATGGGGACAGAGCCCATGGGCAGGCAGAGCTGCTGCTGCTGCCCCCGCTGGCATGGGGACAGGACCCATGGGCAGGCAGAGCTGGTGCGTGGGGACAGGACCCACGGGCAGTCAGAGCTCCTGCTGCTCCTGCTGCCCCGAACTGAGGGTTAGGGCCAAATTTAAGGCATAGGTAAGTGAGTTATCTCTTTATTAGTGCCCGTTTGGTCTGGCCATTTGGCGGTCCCATAACTTTAAGATAAGAATCAAACCGGATTGAGTAAATGGCAGAAGTCACCGCTCAAATATTATCTTCAACTAAAGACAAAGGAGGATTTTGGGGTGAGGGTCAGTTACATGAGGTTGCCAGGCAGTTTCCAGAGATAAGGCCATCCCCCCTTCCTCCTGGCTCAGAGGGGGAGGCATCTTCACAGATAGATGTTTCCCTTAGAAGTGTAAATGTTTTCCCAACAAGGGGCAAACAAATTCCAGAGAGGGAGGCATGGAGATTTCCTTTACAACTGCAATTGTCTCTGATCAAAAGGGCAAACAAATTCCACTCCTTGGAGCCTGCTTCTTATCTGTAGTTTTAAAAGTAACCAGCCTAAAAATCCTCATCATAAACTGTTTTAAAATTAAGCAGCCTAAAAATCCCCATCACTTCCTGTCTGCCAGACACTGTGCGTGGTGCCAAATATTATCACTTCTTCCTCACCAGGTGGGGGTATAATAACCACTGATGGAGGAGAAAACGCAGACTTCCCTCCTCTTTCTTCATGGGCCTCTTGGAGCCACTGGCTCCATGCCCGGGCTGCATGGCTGCAAACTCATGCTCCCCGCACTTGCAAAGCTGCCTGCACTGTGCCAGGCCGACGCCTTCCAGCTGTCCCTGCAGAGCACACAGAGGGCTAACCCTCCCCAGTGCCATCCAGGCTGCATCTTGTTTCTCATCTCCCAAGCTTTCCTCGCCTCCCGTGGGGTCGCGTCCAATACTGTTCGCACACTCTGCCCCGACTCGCTATGGCGGATCCCTGATTTGTAGGTAGGTATCAACTGATAGGGAACAGGGGCTTGTCACAAGGGAGAAAAAGGAAAGACAGGTGAAGACTGTCACTTCGAAGTCAGGTTTGGCGGAAAGAGCATTCCCGGGGGCTGCACAGACCTTGAAAGAGGAAAGGGAAGCAGCTGGGGCCCCCGGGCCTGAGAAGGGCCCTTCGGCCAGCATGGGTTGCTTGAATCCGCTGCATGTGACCTCTGCCTTGGGGGAATACAGTTCAAAGCAGGCCTCTGGCTCCAGCCCTCCCCACCCCTCCCCTCCCTCAAGACTTGGTTCTGGAACCCGGAATTGCCAGTCATGATTTCCAACGTGCCTGGGTGCAGGACTCCCACGCACACACGGCTAAATGAGTTCACCGGGGAAATTGCCCAATCTGCTGCTTGGCAGGCCTTTGACGTCGTGGTTGTTACTGGAAAGGCAACCCGGCTTCAGTGGAAAGTCCAGGACCTGGCTCCAGTGAGCAGCCGTGCTCGGAGCGCGCCAAGGCAGAGCGGCTGCCCACACCCGGCCTCAGCCTCGCCCTCCGCAGAGGCCACCCAGCTCCCGGTGGGGACGCCTCTGCAGGGTGCTGGGGCTCCACTTGGTTTCACCATGGGAAATCTCCAGCCACATTTCAGTGATGACACAACTGCAGCACAAACTGGTGGTCCTTCCTCAACCACGTCGTAAATGATGACAAGTCTGCCCATATTTGTAGGTGGCATTGTTGAAGTTACTGTCTACATTTTCTCGGGATGTGCCCACTCTTGGAGAACTGGGCATCTCGCCTTGGGAGCCTCTACACTTCATCTAATAATGTAATGTAACTTATGGTTTTGTATATTTCTTCAAGGAATAAGTATTTTCAGTGGCAGTTTGGGCCACATTTAAAAATCGCTCCATTTTATCTTTTAAACCAAATTTTTTTCTCAGCTCAATCATCCACCTCATACCATCTTGATGCCAAACGACCACTTGCTGTTTGCAGAACAGATGCACCTTCAGAGGTGTATTTTTCTCCAAATGCACTCTGGGAAAGGAAAGTGATAGGAATTGTATTCAGTGTCACCTCTTCCAATTTGGAGACTGTGACGGTTTCACATAGAGCAGGTTTTGTCGTTATCCTGACCAGAGTTGGAATCCCAGCCCTACGATTGTTTGCTGTGTGTCTTAACCTCTCTGAGCCTCACTTTCTTTATCTGAATAAATGGGGGTAAACCATACTTGCCTCATAGGGTTGTTGTAAGGACTGAATGAGACCACGTATGTCAAGTGTATGCCTGGCACACAGCTTCACCATCATCACCATTATCATCATCACCATCATCATCACCATCATCATCGCCATTATCTTCTTCACCATCAGCAGCAGTATCACCATCATCACTGTCACCGTCACCATCATCAATGCCATCATCACCATTATCTTCATCACCATCATCA